GACAGGACTTAACGGAGAAAGTAGAATTGTCTGGCCCCCAACATATTCCCTACCTTCCTGTGCTCTAATTTCCATCCAAGCACATATACACACGCTCTCACAATACTCTGCCAGGTCCCATCTCAATGTCCTGTTCCAGTCTTGGATACTGTCATTTGACCAGCCTCTCCCCCTCCTACTCCCCCTTAGGGATCTGCCTCTGCTCTGAGAATTGTCCGCAGTGACCCGCAAAGCCCAGAGAAGGCACTAGTACGATACTGCCCCTTATCCACCATGTGTCTGACCCAGTCAAGCATTTGGTCCTGACCCAGATATTTGCTTAGTTCTTAATCCTCTAGCCTGGGTGCCTTTCATAATGGGTCCTGATTGCTCTGAGGTGCTCCTTGCTCAGATGTCCCAGAAGAGGAGGGGGGTAAACCATGTTGCCAGCCCTTTACTGACAAGAAACTAGTTTTAATTCCCCCAAGCCTTAGAAGGCTAATGTGGGTTTATGTCAAGGGTTCCCTATTCCTTATTTTCTATCATAGGCAGCAATGAAGTCAGGAGGGGAGAAGTTTCTTCAATTCTATGTTCACTTAGAGATAGGCACTAAAATATCCTTAGTAAGCTAATCTGTGTGTCAGCACTGTCCAGAGTCCCTGAGCCATTTCTCAAATGTTTTAATTCAACTTAATGAGATGTTTAGAAAACTAATAGAGTTCAAAAACAGGAAGGAATTGGATATATTTTACTACACCTCTTTTTGGAATTGTTTGGGGCAAAACACAGATTAAATATAGGGGTTTTTTGGTTTTGTTTGTTTGTTTTTTGAGACACAGTCTTGCTATGTAGTTCAGGCTGACCTTGAACTCACTATGTAGCCCAGGCTGGCCTCAAATTCATTCCAATCCTCCTGCTTCAGCCTCCTGAGCGCTGGGATCACAGGCATGCACCACCATGACTGGTTTAAATATGTGGTTTTTTTGGTGTTTTTTTGTTTTTGTACCAGGGATCAAACTCAGGATCTTGCACTTGTGAGGGAGACAGTAGCATCATTGAACTAAATCCTGGCCCTAAATATGTTTTTAAGATGTTTAAAGTAGAAACATAATTTGGTGGTTTGAAGGATGAAAAAAAGAAATCTCTACTTCCAGGAATCACCATGTTCTACATTTTAGCTGCTACATATTTGCCTGAAAGGTTCCTGGCAGAAAGGCCAAGAGGGAAATCCACTGGGTTACCCAGTGTTCCTTTTTCTTATATCTTAAAGCTTACATAATCTCCTTTCAGAAGACATTTTCCTCAAGCTAAAGGTTGGTCTTGGGGATTACATACAGAGTCAAGAGTATGTAATCCAATTTAGCTGTCATTTCACCCACTGACTACTGTCCTTCTCTTCTGTGAGAGGACCATGTCCATGTCACCCAGTAGAAAACAGTCTTGATCGTGATAGATGTTCTACCCTCCATCAGACCCACACTAACTCTTGGCCCAGGTAGAAAATGAGAGGGCAGAATACTTTGATTTCAAAAGGCAGAGAAGGTCTAAACCATGTTTGCCACTTGATTTTATAAAAGGTAACGGAAGCACCATCTGAAGGATAACAAGGGCTGAGAATATATCTCAGTGGTAGAGAGCTTGCCTGGCATGTACAAACCCCTGGGATCAATCCCCAGTACCAAAAGAAAAAAACCTAAGGAATACAAGTGATCAATAGGTATAAGATACATTTATTCATTTCATCTTAACAACAAACTCGTGGAGAAAGAATTGTTATTTATATTTTCCAGCTAAGGACTCTGAAGCTCAGTTTGGCCAGGACCACAAAGTTTGAATTGGTAAGATCAGGGTTCCATCTCAGGATTGTGCCTTTCTCATTCTACAATCCTATTTCTTCATCCTAAAGTTTTTTGGGGTTTTTTTGTACCAGGAATCGAACTTGGGACCTTGCACTTTTGAGGCAGGTGGTGGCACTACTGAGCTAAATCCCTGGCCCCATCCTGAAGTTCTTAAAGTTTCCATAAAGGAAGTGCATGTAGTATGACCTGCTGGCTATGAAAAGAATACACCAATAGGGGCGAAGGATTTAGCTCAGTGGCACCACTCCTGCCTTGCAAGCACAAGGTCCTGAGTTCAATCCCCAGTACCCCCCCCAAAAAAAAGAATACAGTGCTAGGACTTATTGCTCTGAGGATGTGACTTCACCTGGGGCTAAAAGTTGGGGCACCCAGGTGAGTGGAGGGATCAGTTTCCCTGCCATTTCCAATTATTTGGGTTCTATTTGAACTTTTTGGCTGGTCCTGGCTCATAGTCAAGTCACAAGTGATTCTCTGTAATATGTTCAATTTGTGAACAGGTGATAGATAATATGTCCTATCTCTCCACTTCCCTCCTTTCCCAGATCTCTGCTCATTAACACTGCCCCTCCCTGCCCCACCCCCCACCCCACCCCCTAGTTCTAGCCATTTTAAATGCTGCCTAGAATTTGCCATGCTCTTCCACACTTCTGGGCAGTGGCACTTGCTGTGTCCTTTAAGCCTTCAATCTCATCTTCACCACGAAGCTTTCCCTGAGCTCCCCTTTCTCCTCACCCTCTCTTTTCTCCCACAGAACCCTGTGTACACATGCTTTTCAGCACCATATTTTCATCCTGGGTTTACCTGTCAGTCTGAGTTCCTTATTCATCGATGTACCCTCAGAACCTTGCACGGGGTCTAGAATGTTTTAGTGCTCAGTGATGTTTGTTGGATGAACATGATGAACAGCTACTGTGTGTCCAGCACTATCCTGGGCACTAGGTATCCAGAGACAAGTAAGACATAGACCCTTCCCTTGAGAAGCTTAGTTAGAAACTGGAGGCAACCAATATGTAATTACTGAAGCCCAACTTTATAAGATCCATAATATCTCTAATAGGGGGTTTGGGGAGCACAGAGGAGAGAGAAAATAACTTAGCCTGGGAAGTCTTCCAGAGTAGTAATTTATGGGCTTGGGCTGAACATTAAAATATAAAAGATTTTTACCAAACTAAGAATATACTAGGCAGAGAGAAAAGCATGGAAGAAAATCAATGTTTGGGAAACTGAAAGAAGTATTGATATTCTGTCTCATCGTTCAGAATGAAAACATGTTTTATATACCAAATGTGAGAGAAGTAAAGTTGTCACTCTGTTGTGGATGTTTTAAGACTTTATTAGTCTGACAATTTTGGTTTTAATCAGTCAGATGGATTTTAATGCAAGGCAGTAAAGATGGTATAGTCACTTTCTTATTTACAGTTTCTGGTCTGCCTCCTTCCAAAAATAGTTTAAATTGACTTATAATAAAACACATCCACAGCAAGCCTGTTCACACAGAAACAAGAAACAAAAGCTATAGGTAGGAAAGGAATAATACCATTTCCCAAGGTGCTTTTTCCTTCATTCGCTCACTTGGTGTTGAGGATGATCACATGTTCAGGTGTTCAGGATGAGGGTGGACAGGGAATAGGGCTTTCTGGCTTTGAGCCTGGCATAAGGCGTGCACTCAAAAATGTTTGTGGGCGCTGGGGATTTAGCTCAATGGTTCCGGCGCCTGCCGCACAAGTGCGAGGTCCAGAGTTCGATCCCCGGTACAAAAAAAAAAAAATGTTTGTGGATTCAGTGATCACACAGATACTTTCCCCATTTCCAAATATTGCCACAAATATTCCTGGTGCTTCCTTTTCCTTTGGTTTTCATCCCCTCATACTTTTGAGTGGAAATAATCATCTTTACTTTGTTATTTTTCAGACACATTGCTTGTTTGATTTTCTTCATTCAAACTTCTTTCAGATTCTCTTGCCTTCTTAAAGTTTTTCCTTTTTAAAACTTAGAAAACAGAAAAGCACAAAATGAAGTCCCTCTGATACTCCAACACAAGGATGTTTTAAAAAAACTTTCAAAGAATCTGCAGAGGTAGCTCAGTGGGAGAGCATATGCTTAGTATGTGGGAGGCCCTAGGTTCCATCCCACATACATACATACATACATACATGTTGAACGTTTGGACTTTCAGAAACGTTTTCAAGATTAAGACAAAAAATTTCTGAATATCCTTTACCTGGATTCCCCAACTGTTAACATTTTACTACATTTGCTTTATCTAGCTACCTGTCTGTTTTCTCTCCCTAGATATATTTATGTATTTATTTCTGAACCCATTTAAGAATAATTTGAAAACATAATACACCTTCATTTAAGACTAGTTCACTGTATATTTCCTAAAAACAAAGAATTCACTTACATAACAGGTATTTTTTCTATACGTCTATTATTTATTTATACTTAAATTTAAGAATTTATATTTATATTATAATGGCTTGATTTTGAGGGGAAATGATTTACCAATAAAAATTGTATACAATCTCTTACCAACAGATATTCTACAATGTGATGCTTTGTCAGACTCTGATTTTAGACACTATGAGTTTCTAGTGGACACATTTCCACAGACTGTTCTTATCTTCCAGCATGTTGATCTTATATCAGTGGTTTGGGGGGGGGGTACCGGGGATTGAACTCGGGTCCTTGCGCTTGCACAGCAGGCAGTGAAATCACTGAGCTAAATCCCCGGCCCATCTTATATCAGTGGTAAGCAGTGAATCAATGAATAAAGAGGCAGAATGGGGGAAACCTTTGAATGAAAATTTATCTTTATTCTGTACCCAGTAGAGATCCAGTGAAAGGTTAACAGCAAGGGAGTGAGCCAATCAGAACTGTATTTTCTGGAGATTAATTAACAGTGTCTGCAGGATGGAGTGAAGGGGGAAGAAATCAGAGCATGAGTCCTTAAGGCACGTGGGAGAATGATCCCTAGTTTGAAGGACAAATCTCTGCCAGTGTAGAATGGAGCCTTCTCCACCATAATGCATCCTTTTCTTTCCCATATCTTTCAGAACTGGTTAAAGTCATATGGCTATCTGCTTCCTTATAATTCCCGGGCATCTGCATTGCACTCAGGGAAGGCCTTACAGTCAGCAGTCTCCACTATGCAGCAGTTTTACGGGATCCCAGTCACCGGTGTGTTGGATCAGACAACGATCGAGTAAGATATGCGTAGGATATTGTGCCTTTGAGCTTTGCATTCATATTTGTCATAGCCTTATGTACACACCATGCCCATTCTACTTCCCTGTCTTTTATTCCAACAGTGCCATCCTGGGCAGAAACACCACAAAGTGCACTTTGCTATTTGAGCTGAGAGTGTACTGGGATGGGAGTCCCACCTCTGTCATTAACTTGCTATGTGACCATGGACAAGTCACTTAACCCTTCTGGTCCTCAGTTTCCTTGTCAGTACAATGAGGGGGTGTCGTAAAAGGCATCTTAAATCTTCTCTGGTTCCAATTTAATGGTTCTATGAGTCACCTTCTGGAGTTCCCTGAAATGTACATGTCTCCCTTGTTACAGAGAACTCTTGAAAGATACTAGGTTGACAACTTTTGTTCCACTTTTCCCATTTACCAAATACCTGCTGAGTGCCTGCATGCTTCAGGCACAGTGCTTGCCCTGGCATCCTGACCTTTGGAAGCTCACACTGTTTAGTGAAAAACACAGTCACCTGGCCACACCACCCTAGAACACAGAAACAAACAGTCTCAGGTAGCTACTTTGGAGGTAGCAGTGAACACATCAAGCCATGAAGTTGGCTGCAATCACACAGAGAAAACATAAAGAGGAGAATGAGAAGAGATTTGGGGATAAAGCCCCACAAACCTGGCCTAGAAGGAGTGATGGGAGGGGTGGAGGAAGCGCTAGGTGATGTGATACCACAGCAGTGAAAGGGATGTGGTCAGCAGGGTCAGCTGCTACAGAGTGGTCCAATGGGACAGTGACTGAAAGCCGTCTGTGGATTTAGTAACAAAGAGGTCGTCAACAACCTCAGTAGAGCCAGGCATGGTGGCACACGCCTGTAATCCCAGCTCTCCCGAAGCTGAAGCAGAAGGATCACTGCCAGTTCAAGGCCAGCCTGGACTTCATAGTGAGTTCAAGGCCAGGCTGAACTACACAGTGATTCCCTGTCTCAAAGAAACAACCACCCCCCAAAAAACCTCAGTAGAATGGTGAAGATAAAGTTAGATTGCAGAGAGGAAAAGGGAGGTGAAGAATGGAGATGGCAAATGGTTGGAAAACTTTGGGGAATCCTGAGAACAAAGGGAAGGAAAGGTAGGTGGTACTCAGAGAGGGATGAAGTTTTGATTGTTGGTTATCTGTTTAAGATAGGAGAGAGTTGAGCATGCTTCAGTTTGTTTAGGGAATGACGAGGGCTGGGGATGTAGTTTAGTAGCAGCTGACTGAGCATGCACAAAGCCCTAGGTTTGATCTTCTGCACCACAAAGTTTTAAAAAGAAAAAAAGAAATACAGTGGACCCTTGACTTACAAACTCAATTTGTCCTTGAGACTAGTTTTAACTCAAGTTGCTCAACTGAAAGCTCAGGCTCCTCTATACAGCCTTCAAAATCTCTCTCCTGGATACAGGCAGATCTCAGTGTCCATGGAAAGACATTGGCCCAGGATTTCTCAATTAACCCCACACAGGAAAGGATGTTGTAATGTTCCTTCCAGAACTCTTTAAGGGTTAAATCTGTATCTGAGACCATCTGGAAACACAAGCAGCTGGCATTTGGGTCATAACTCAAGACTTTGTTCCTAAGTTAAAACTAAAATTCAGGTCATAACCCAAGTTGTTCATATATCAGGCCAGCTGTAACTTGAGGGTCCACTGTAACTATGAAAACTACTCAACCTGTTTAAGAAGTGCCCTTCACTCCCCAAGGGTATGGAAAAATCTGGAGTGGAGTTCTGAAGGTGGTGGGGAGGAATAGGAGCCCAAGTTCAGGTGGGAGCAGATTGCAGGGCTGGGTGCAGATGCAGGGGAGTTGGCGGAAACAGAATAGGAAATTCACCTAATTGTGGATTAAAGACCACTTCACCCCTTAGGTAAGTCACTCCAGAACCATCTCTGGGTCTCAGCACATTCATTTGCAGAGGAGAGTACTAGAATTTATGTCTTCCAAATTTGGTTTCCATTAGTCTAGACAGGCATGGTGCCACTGAGCTAAATCCCTGGCCCCTAAGTTTCTAAGCTTTTAAAACTTGGTGAGTCTGGGGTTTTGTAATTGTAAAAATCAGTCCAAACATTTCGTATTCCTAGGATTTTCTGATTGTGCAATTCCAAGATAGTTCACTTGGTGCTGTGAGTGGGTTTGCCACCCCGTGGCCTCCTGAGCAAGCAGGAGGGAGCCAGTTGCCCTTCTACAGGAGGTTACCAGGAGGCCGTTGCACAGGCCTCTTGGCAGCACACCCTGGGCACGCTGGTGTGAAGCACCACCTGGCCCTGGCTTTTACTCCATTCCAGACACCCCAGGCCTGCTGGACAAAGTTCAGAGAGTGGCAGGTGGATGAGGAGAGGCGGAGGCAGAGGGAAGGATCTGAGGGAACAGGCCGGCATTTCCCACTTGCAGTTCTTCCCACACCTCTGTGTAGGGAGGTGGGGGAGTAGGGTTTTGGAAACATAGGAAGGAGGGAGTGAGCTGCTCACACTTAGTCTAAGACCTGAGTGGGGCTGGTATTTGGGGTAGAATTCAGAGACCTGAGTTCCTGCTCTAACTCTGTGACCTGGGGCCATTGCTACCTTTCTCTGGACCTGTCCCTCCCTTAGCAGTCCTTCCAGATCAAACTTAGCAGTATCAGAGGTAGCTCTTGGTTGTCTTCCCAGGGACTTTTAGTGAAAGAAAGCTAGATTCGCAATTTCAAGTACTATTTTTGAGTATCTACCTTGGGAAATGTGATGCATTTATTCACTCACTCATTCAATAGCACAGTTCCTCTCGCTTACTCTTGTGATAAGCACTGAGAAAACAATAAAAGCTCCCATCTCCTTTTGTTAAATTATAGCGTTTAATAGTTCACTTATTAATTCAGCTCAGTTCCAGGTCCACCTCACCATCTTTTATGTTTTGTAAATTTGATTTATATGTATATCTTTTCCTTCATCTGGAAAATGGGAATGATAATTTCTGGTTACCTCACAGGGTTGTTTCAAGAATCAAATATTCTATAAGAATATGAACACTGAAAATGGTAAATGTTTAGATCAAGGCACTGCTATCATTATGTCTTTTATTATTGGTCTATGAATATGGGTCACTCTCTAGGGAACATGGAGCATGAGAAGATGAGTAAGACTTGGCTGATTCCTTCAAGGAACTTTTAATGTTTGGTTAAAATAGCCTCAATCTTCTTTTCTCCATATTGCCTATGGCAGTGGTTTTTAACAGCTGCAAATGAGGTCAGACTGTTTTCCCTTCCAGCCATACCAAGCTATAGTTTCATGGGCTAGTCATTAGACCAGCACAGAAACATAAATTCCAGAATGGCATGGGTCCCAGTCACTCATGATCCTTTAAGTCTCCTACACTAGCACCTTTTTCTTAAAACCCAATGATGTTGCCAGCTCACTATTGCCTGATGTAACTCTACCTGAAAACAATTATCAAGATTCACTTACTTGCATGCACTGGGCAAGCTTCTAGGGACACAGGAATGAGTTATGAGCATGGTTCCTGTCCTCAAAGAAGTCACCATTTATTAGAAGCAACAGATTAGTAGACTTAAAATCAAAGTACAGTGTAATAAGTGCTGAAAATAATTATACTGCAAGTCCTGTTTTTGTTTAGCCATTTCTTGAACACATAGTGAAAGGGAACCTTCTGTCTTCCATGATATTCCATCCTACTGTTGGAGAATTCTGATACACTTATTCATTCAGTCAGTCAACAAATCATTATTGAACCCCTTCTGTGTCAGACACTGCCAGTCCTAAGGATACAGGCTATGCTCCTATCTTCATAAAGCTCAGATCTGGTGAGCAAAACAAAGAATAAAGAGATCTGTAATTTCAGGGAGTGATAAATGCTATGAATAAAAATTAAACAAGACAAGCAGATAATGGGGGATAAGGGGATTCTACTTCAGATAGGATAGATGGGGAAGTCCTCAGGGCAGAAACCTTAATGACATAAGGGAACAGATCACAGGGAGAGGAAGTAAATAAAAGGAACAGCAGGGCTGGGGATTTATCTCCGTGGTTCCACTGCCTGCCTCGAAAGCACAAGGATCCGAGTTCGATCCCCAGTACCAAAAGAAAAAAAAGGAACAGCAAATACAAAGAAGCCAGGCATGGTGGTGCATGCCTGTAGTCCCAGAGGAGGATGAAGTAGGAGGATCACCTCAAGTTCGAGGCCAACCTGGGCTACATAGTGAGTTCAAGGCCAGCCTGAGCTACATAGCAAGACCTTGTCTCAAAAAACAAACAAGAGGTGGGGATGTAGCTCAGTGGCACCTCGCCTGTCTGGCAAAATGCAAAGATCCTGAGTTTGATCCCTGGTACCGAAGGAAAAAAATGAAAACAAAAACAAAAGATAGAGTGAGAAGAGCCTTAGCACATTCAAGGAATAATGGGAAACTCACTGTGGCTTGTGCATAATATTTAGAACTGTGACAAGCTTTGGATAAATAGGCAGGGACTAGGTTATGCAGGTTCTGAAGACCAAGTGAGGAGTTGGTATTTTATTCTGGGTGTTTTGAGAAGTCACCAGGGAGTGCTGTGGTCTAATATTACAGAGCATTTTCACATATATTCCTCTCTGAGATTCTCTGCAACTCAAGAGCAGCAAGAACTCTAATTCTCCTGTTGGAGATGAGGAAACAGGTTCATGTTGATTCTGTCACTTATACAGGGTCTTAGATTAGTGGTGGAGCTGGAACTTAATACACCAGATCTCCTGATTCCTCTCTCTCTCTCTCTGTCTTTCATAAACCTTTTTTTTTTTTTTTTTGGTACCAGGGATCGAACTTGCGACCTTGTGCTTGCAAGGCAGGCGGCGGAACCACTGAGCTAAATTCCCGGCCCTCTCTCTCTTCCTTTCTTTGAGACAGGGACTCACTATGTAGTTCAGACTGGCCTTGAATTCACTATGTAGCAAGGGCCAGGGACAAAGCTCAGTGGCGCTCCACCTGCCTGGCAAGTGCAAAGTCCTGAGTTCAATTCCAGGTACTGGGGTAAAAAAGGAAGAATTCACTATGTAAACCAGGCTGGCCTCAAACTCACAGTGATCCTCCTGCCTCAGCTTCCTAGTGCTCAGATTACAGGTGTGTGCCACCATGCCGAGCTGATTCCCATCTCTTATTCAACAATGTTTTTTCATATTTGATTGCCAGTGAATGAATTAATGAGTCAGTCAATCAAGTCCCTGTTGGGAGCCATCAAAGCCAGGACACCAGAGTCTATGCTGAAAATGCACACTGCCATTCAGACTTGGACTGAGCACTACATGATGCCTTCCTAGTGTTCAGGGATCACAGTACATATATGTGTGTGTTTGTGTGTATTTTCTCTCTGCTCAGGTGGATGAAGAAACCCCGATGTGGTGTCCCTGATCACCCCCACTTGAGCCGAAGGCGGAGAAACAAGCGCTATGCCCTGACTGGACAGAAGTGGAGGCAAAAGCATATCACCTACAGGTGCTCTGACTCCCTTTCTTCCTCCCTGGCTTCAGCCCCACACTCACTCTGTTTTTCTGCCCGACTTTCAGAGGCTCACGCAGTAGGAGGATCTGGAGGTCAGGATGAGGGCCAGGCACATGAGCATCCTGACCTGGTGCTGAGAGTCTGTGACTGCGTCTTCCTCGTGGGTTCCACGGGACGGTGACCCCAGCATCACGGTTATCTGGCCTTTTGAGAGCTTTTAGTTGTGTTCTGCTTAGGTACTTATGGTTTTGTTACAGAAAACGGAGTATAAGATTGTTCGGTAACTTTCAGCTGTGGTAAAAACCCACGACAGAATTCATTCTCCCAGTCAGTGCTTGCCAAACCCCACTGCCTCTGATCTGGATCCCCTCCTCACCAAAACCAGCCTGACAGACTTCACCCAAGATTTCCAACAGAATCCTAGTTTATTTGGCCTTTCTTTCTTTCTCTTTTTTTCTTCTAGTCCTAGTAATTAAACCCAGGGGTACCCTACCACTAACCTACATTCCCAGTCCTTTTTATTTTTCGAGACAGTGTCTCCCTAAAATTGCCCAGGCTGAACTCAAACATGTGATCCTCCTGCCTCAGCCTCCCTTAGTGCTGGAATTACAAGTGTGCACCACCATACCCAGCCAAGTTGTTTCTTAAGGAGTATAAAGAACAGGGACCTAAATTATAACAGTGTTATTCCTTGACTGTCTGGGGAAATCAAGGCAGAGCAACATTAGTCTCCAAGTCTGACCAGCAGCCTGAGAGAGGGACGATGAGGCTGGTCAAAGCAGACTCAGACACCAGAATTCAGGTGAGGCCAGGCAAGGGCGTGGCATAGGGCAGGCTTACGTGGGCTCTGGTTGGCACTTCTCAAGGCTCTGATTCCATCTCAGGTGGAGCCCTAGGTGCAGGGGCAAGACCCAAGCTAGAGGTTTTTGGAACTAAACAAACGGCTGTCTACTGACAAGCTACAGAGATCAGAACAAGATTTTTTCCAGAAAAATCTAATGAGAACAAAACTTAAAAGGAATCTGGGTTAGAAACTGCCCAGACTCTGGGTCTCCTGAAACAACAGAGTAGATTAAGAAAAAGAACTGAGCTCTCAACTAACTTTGACCTTAACATCTATTACTCAATTTCTCTGGGACTCTGCTTCCTTGCTTATGGAATGGGTAGACGAATCTGTGCCCCAGGCATCCATGGGGCAGAGCACACCCACAGGTACTGATGTCCTTTTGTGGAGTACCATGCAATATGGATATAATAACCTTAAAGAAAACCCGTGATGGATTCAGTCAGATACTGCCCATGCCAGCTTCTAGGTAGACAAGCAATAGTTGGTACCAAAAATGTTTTAAGAACTTTTCACTTAAACTCATCTCTGCTGTTTGAATAATTTTTTTTTGAGTACTAGGGATTGAATCCAATACTTCTGCACTGAGCTACATCCCCAGCCCTCTTTAATTTTCATTTTGAGATAGGGTCTCACTAAGTTCCCCAAGTGGGACTCAAATTTTCAGTCCTCCTGCCTCAGCCTCAGGCCTCAGCCTCAGGCCTTGGTGCCCTGCACCATGACTAGCCCATGATAGTTCTCTTCCTTGGAAAGAGCCCTCACTCCAAAGATCCAGGGATGCTCAATGGGGAGGAACTGACATTCCAAGGCCTAAACCAAGTGCTGGGATTATAGGCATGAGCCACCACACCCAGATATTTTTTTCAGTGCTGGAAATCAAACACATTCTAGGCAAGCACTCTACCAAGCTTATTTTTATAAATTTTATAAATGTACATATTTTATGTAGGAGAAAAACTTAAAATGCAGAAAATGCCATCTATGAATACATTTTTTCTATACATTGAGAGGATCCTTTATTCAACACAAATTTTGTCAGAGATAAAATAAAAACACTGGTTAAAACAAAGCCATTTCAGGGCCGGGGATTTAGCTCAGTGGTTTCGCACCTGCTTCGCAGGCTCAAGGACCCGAATTCGATCCTTGGTACTAAAAACAAAACAAAACAAAACAAAGCCATTTCTGATTGAGGCAAAGATAGAATCCAGAGGTCTACCTACTGTGCCCCCTTCTGTCACTGCTGGGGAAGCTCAGAAGAATTCTAGAACTCAAAATGGGGAGTCCACTGGCCATATTGCCTCTAATGTCCCCCTTTTTTTTTTTTGGTACTGGGGATCGAACTCAGGACCTTGCGCGGCAGGCACCAGAACCACTGAGCTAAATCCCCGGCCTTTGATGTCCATTTTAACTTTGCTAGTCTCTGGCTTTCTGCTCCTCCCTAATTATCCTCCCCTCTTTTACTAGCATTCACAACTATACCCCAAAGGTGGGTGAGCTCGACACACGGAAAGCTATTCGCCAGGCCTTTGATGTGTGGCAGAAGGTGACCCCCCTGACCTTTGAAGAGGTGCCCTATCATGAAATCAAAAGTGACCGGAAGGAGGCAGACATCATGATCTTCTTTGCTTCTGGTTTTCATGGTGACAGCTCCCCATTTGATGGGGAAGGGGGATTCCTGGCCCATGCCTACTTCCCTGGCCCAGGAATTGGAGGAGATACTCACTTTGACTCAGACGAGCCATGGACACTAGGAAACGCCAACCATGATGGTAAGGCAATGAGGGGATGGATGGGGTCAGTCCTGGGTTGCTCAGCTATCAGGGAAAGAAGCCCTGAGGAAGAGCTTGGAGGACACCATGGATAAGATTCTTGCTTTGTAAAGTTTCTTCTCCAAGAACTAAGGGACCCAAGAGCATGGGACCTGTGGTCTCTGATAATATTCAATACTTGACACACTAGGGCCAGAACTACAACAGTGGTCCTCCTAAGATCACTTAGCTGGTCTCACCGGGCTGAGGCAGGCTTAGACCATGAACAAGAAGATAAAATGATGTGTCAAAACCTAAAAAAGGGTAAAAAGGTGCTGAAGCTAAATCAGTCATGGCATCTGAAAGTGGTAGACTCTGACTACAGCCACTCTTAACAGGTGCCATAATTACTTTAGTATCCTTGCATAACTTTTATGCATCACTAAGATTCAGTGAATATACATGGGAGCTGGAGTCAATATCATGCAGTAATAATAACAATGCCCTTCAGGTTGCCAAAGAGTTCTTCATCCATATTTTACTCACAATGCACTTGCTTAGTAAGTGTGCAAGGATACAATCATTTTGTCTATTTTTAAGACAAAGTGTTCAGCACTCAAATGGCATAGCTAGTAGGTGTCAGCACCAAGGTTCAAACTACCTAGTTATGTGACTAGGGACAAACAATTCACCCTCAGTCTCTACACTTGATCTTAGCCAAAAGGCCGAGAAGCGATGACCCTCAATCTCTTAGTGCATAAAATAGAGGCTGGTGTAGGTGATCTCCAAAATCTTTTCCAACTCTCATGTGACATAATATGAAGTCCCCCAAAGATGGAGGGGCAGGGATGGAAACATTAAAAATAAATAAATAAAGACATGGTCTCTGCCCTCCAGAAGTCCAGAAACAGATGTGGACATGAGTGGGCCTGCCACATGGTAGACTCTACTGAAGGCTGCAGCAGAGGCCCAGTCAATGCGATGGTGGTCTGGAGGAAAGAGAGATGGAGGGTTTGGCTTTTAAATTTTAACATATAAGAGTTAGTAGGTATGTTCATGTTCTAAGGTCCATGCCAAGTGCTTTCCACACATTATGTTGGAGCTAGATGTTGTTATTGTCCCCATTTTACAGATAGGTATATTGAGGCCCTGAGAACCATTAAATAACCTAAGGTTTCATAATTGTTTTGTTTTTGGTACCGGGGATTGAACTCGGGTCCTTGTGCTTGCGAAGGTTTCATAATTGGTGAGTGGTAAAATAAGGCTTTGAACCTGACTGTAATAATCAGGGAGCCCATACTCTTAGCCACCATGCTAAGCTTTCAAACTGCAGAATTGCCTACAAACCACTTTCAAGAACACAGCTTCCAGGGTCTAGGCTCATACCCTCTTGCTATTGTGATTCTCAGGGTTCAGAGAGGACCTAGAATCTGTGTGCGGCCTGATCAGTTCCCTTGGTGCATTTGATACAGGTATTTCACCACCTTGAACACACCACTTCATCCCTGGAGTTCCCCTAACCTGCCTGATCATAAGAAACAACTGAGGGCCTTGTTAGAAACATGGGTTCCAGGCTCTTCCCCTGGAGATCCTGATTCTTAAGCTAAAGCAAGTTTGGGAAACAGTAGGCATCTTTTTCTGCTGTAGGTGCTATGAGCAGACTCTTCCTGGCCCATTTCCTTAGAGGCCATGTCTGGTGTCTACATGTGGGGGATCACTCCTGTAAGAACACCCCAAATCATTGTGCTGCTCAAGGTGTGGCAGTTCTCAGCTTATCTGTGAAAGGCTGGTTCAGGGAATAGTTTGGCCAAGGCTCAGCCTAAGCAGAGTTACAAAACTGTTAGATTCCTTTGTCCTCTTCCCTATGAAGTGCCATTTCCTCTGCCCGGTACATCTCCCCTATATCCTGGACATTTTTCCTGCCTTTCTGTCTACCTATTCTTTATCTCATATTTATGTTTTGATTGGTGTCTGTGTGAACTGATAAGATACGATAAGAAGGGGACCAACATTTTGAGGCCCTGTTATGTGCCAGGAACTTTTAGCTGATAAGGATTCAGTTGTAGCCCTGGTAGAGACAAGTGGATTTTCAAAGGCTTGTTGTCCAAAGAAGGTGTTGGAAAGACATTCCTATCTTCTGCACCCTTTTCTGCCCAACACTGGGAGGTTGCACTCCCACACCCACTTGCTGCTTGAATTTGTTGGGCTCAGCCCCCAAATCCTAAGAACTGATGGTGGGTATGAGAAGAACCCAGTACCTGTGGATGGGCATCATCCCAGCACTCCTCCCACCTATACCATCCCATTGTAGATAAGACTCCTCATTCTGATAGTTCTGATAGAAATTCCAAGATAGCTAATGTCTTTTTTGGACAGGAGTCAGGCTTTTGCTTTGGGAAACCAGATGCAGCTCATAACAACTGCAACAGACCCCTGGCTAGTGAGCTGGTGAACACTGCCCCAGGACAGGTTTTGGAATGAGAGGAAAGGAACCAAGATTTATTGAGCACTTTTATATTATCTAATTTAATTTCCACACAGACTCAGCAAGAGAGGAAGTGGGTTCTCCTGGGAACTTTTTGATTGTTGGCTTCCTTCTTTTTTCTAAACTTTCATTATGGAAAATTTCAAATTCACAAAGGAGGGAGAATGACTGTGATTCCTAGGTACTCATCACCTGCTTCAGTGATTAACATCATGTCATTCCAATTTCTTTTTTTTTTTTAATGTCATTCCAATTTCATCTACCCCTTCCCACTTTTATTTTTTGACTGATGTGTTTTGGGGTTGTTTGTTTGTTTGTTGGCTGATGTGTTTTAAAGAAAATCCCATGTATGATATCATTTCCCCTGTAAATACTTTGATATATACTTCTAACAGATAAAGACCTATTTTTTTCCTCTCATTCACTCAAGACCCATTTTTTGTTTTTTTGGTATGGGGGATCGAACTCGGGTCATTGCGCTTGCCAGGCAGGAGCCAGAACCACTGAGCTAGCTAAATCCCTGGCCCCCAAGACCCATTTTTAACATAACCACAAAGTCATTTTCAAACCCAACAAAATTAACAATTTCTTAAAATTGAACCCAGTTTGTGTTCACTTGCCCGAATTACTATAAAAATGTCTTTTACAGTTGTTTGAGTCAGGATCCAAACAAGATCCATGTATCACACATGACTGACTTAAAGCTTTTGCAAATTAACAGTCACACATATATATACACATTTCCCCTCTTGTATTGCAGAAACAGTTTTGTGTCCCTAGTGTAATAATTTGGCTTGACTAGGTGCAGGTTCACTTTTTTTCTTTTTCTTCTGGGGATGGAGCCTAGGGCCGTGCATGCTAGACAAGTGCTCTGCCACTGAGCTACATCCCCAGGCTTTTTAAACCTGTGTCTCATCTTGACAATTCTTGAATATTGATAATCAGATTGAGATGGGCTGGGGATTTAGCTCAGTGGTTTCGCCGCCTGCTGCACAAGCACAAGGACCCAAGTTTGATCCCCGGTACCAAAAAAAAAAACCAAATATGATAATCAGATCTACAGGTCTGACTAGATTCAAGTTCACCTTTTTGGCAGGAATCCTTCCTCAGTGGTATTGGTACTTCCATTTACCATCTTGGGAAGTACATATGATGCACACTGTCCTACTTTTAGTGATGTTAAGGTCAAATAGTTTCTGGTCATGTCAGGCTGACTCTACTATTGTATAATTCATCTGTGAAACAAGAAGAAGAAAGAGGAGGAGGAAGGGGGAAGTTGTTGTTTACATCCTAGCACAGACCTCCTAAATCAGAATCCTCCCTCCCCCAGTGTTTCAAAGGCTCCCTGGAGGACCACTGGATTGTAAGGTGATTCTCATTCCCCACCTCATGGAGTCTGTGAAGGGGCAAGCTGGACCACTACACCTTTAAGTCGGTTATTGGGGCTACTTCCAGAAACTCCTTCTGTCCTCATTTCTTTTAAGTGAGTCAACCAGTGAAGTCAGCAGATAACACTACACGGTGCTGGCGAGAGAGCTCAGCCCTTCACTGCTCCTGCATAGGGAAAGGTGATGAGACAGGAAGAGCCATCATGACCATGCTCTGCTTCACAGGATAGAGCCCTTCCACACTTATGTCACTAACTGTTCCTCCACCTGGGGAGGCAGGGATGATGATCTCCATTTTACAGATAAGGAAAGTGAAGTTCTGCCAAGGATTTAAGAAATTCACATAGTTGGTAAACCTGAGACTTACCATCTTTAACAATGCTCCCCCTGAGGGTCAGGGTTCTGCTACAGGTGGCCCAAGAACCACACTTGGAAAAATACTGAGTTTTTGGCACTGTTCCATCCTGGGTGCTGTGGAGCTCAGTTTGCCCCCAGGTTGCTCACAATCATGAGTGTGCACTAGCAACTGTAATTAATGCAGGCTGGAAAGTGGCCAATGCCTAAAGACTCTCCGGAGAAAATGCTGGCAGAGTATGGAAGAGGCAGCACTTGGGCCAGTCAGGAACTCGAGGCAGGCTTCCTGGGAGACAGGCATTGAACTCAACTGTGAAGAAAGGAGGATGCTCCATGTGGAAAGGCAGCACTGGCAAGAGAACAGAGGTGAAGGGAAATGTCTTTTGGGGATTAGGGGAGTCAAGATGACAGGAATTATAAAATAAGGAGGTCCTAAGAAAAAGAATGAAGCAGAGGTAAAGGTGCACTGGAGTAGCCAGGCAGACTGTGCTAAGATGCCCAGGGACTTCCAGGAACACTTGCTATTAGGATGCTGGTCCTTACATAGCCCACCATTACCCTACTAACTAATAGTGATACTTCTGTACCAGAAGCTTTACATACCTTGTCTCATTAATCTTCACCCCCATTCTCATAAAGAAGGTACTATCATTCCTTTCATTTTACAAAGGAAGAGACTTAAAATATCATTCTGATAGGACATGTCAGAGCTGGGATTTGAAGACAAGCTGTCTGACTGCCAGAGACCACACTCCAGACCACTCTGCTGCCTGGCTCCTGCCTTCTTAGGGAATGAGACCTGAAGAATCTCCTGACCATGAGGCACTGGAGTCTTCTCCATAACAGGCCTCCTCCTTGTACCTCTGCTTTCCCTTAACAAGCTCAGGGAGTTTTCTTGCCTCTCACTTTCCCTTTCCTTCCCAAATCTCTGTTGGGTTTCTGTGGAGTAGGACACTGGCTCCCCACCTCTTCTCTTCCTTTTACCCCTGGACCAGACTTGTAGCCCCCTTCTTTCAGAGGCTACTGCTATTCTTTGCAGGCTCAGGTACAGGCTGAGTAAAGGTTGAGAGTCTGCCCAGCACTCAAGAGGCCTGCTCCCTGGGTGCCTAAGATCCCTGTGGATGGCCTTCAGGGAGGAGCCTGGCCAGGAGACAGAGGCCCTGAACAGCTTGTCCCAGGTTCAGGAACAGGCCAGGAATGGAGCCAGAACAGGCCCTAGGAAACAGAGCTGCTTTCCGCTGCCTCTAGCAGCCACCTTTGTTTGGGATGGAGCTCAGAGATGAGCTCACGCCTCCCCACTGCCAGACGGACCAGGACCTGAGGAAGGAGCCGGGGGCTGCCAGGCCTTCTCTTGCCAGCCTGCCCTTCCTACCAGAAGGCCAGCCCCAGGCTTTTGGCCAACCTTCCGCTAGTCTTGCCCATCCTCCCTCCTTTCCACTGCTCACAAGCAGCTTCGCTGAAGATACCAGTGGTGTCACTGGAGTGGCAGGCTCGAACTTCCCGAAGTCTGGGTCTGGCTCAGGGGGCTTTTCTTCTCCCAAGACCTTAGCCAGAAAGGTCAAACAACTCCTGCCCCCATCTGACTTTCATGGGCACTGGCTGGGCTAGAGAAGGGGCAACTTTTCCAGGAATGCTGGGGCCAGAATAGACCCCTAAAGCCTCCCTGGACTTAGAAGTGGCAGAAAGGGGCTGAGAAATGGCTAGGGCTAGGAGATCAGAGGCATGCAAATGCCAGCAGTCAAGGCAAGCAGGGGTCTATAACTGGGCAAGCCAGAGCCAGTACTGTCTCTACAATGGACTCCCCAGTTCCCTACCTGGCATTTCTTTTCCAAAACTGGGATTACTTAATCCCCCCAACTTCAGGTCTTGCTATATCTCAGACCTAAGACAGAAGCTTAGGGGAGCTAGCTTTAAGAAGATCAGGTTGTGGAACCACTGGCCTTCTGCTTCCTTTTGATCAGTGGGCTTGTTCCACAAACCAAGCTTCTGTCTATGTATAGTAACAACAGTGGCAGCCACTCAGGACCACACTACTCTATCATTGTTATCTTAGAGGTAGGCATGATTCCTCTGTTTTACACATGAGGATATTGAAACTCAGGGAGTAGACACATGACCATGCTCACAAAGATGGTAACTAGAGTTTGAAATGAGGATGCCCTTTCCTACTCTGAGGATGCTCGTAACCACCATGTCATGCCACCACCTCAGTTTCACATTTGGGATCCTTTGTCCCATTTTCAGCACCTGGATTGTGTCTCCATTCACACTGGAGTCCTCGCCTTGATCTTGCCTTGCAGTTCAGTTCTTCCAGGACTGGAGTTCTGATAACGGAGAGCTTTCCTGCACCCAGTGCCCTACTTGCCCTGGGTCTCTTGAAGCTAAATGCCAGCCAGCCACCCCCAAGACTTTCTCTAATTGTCCCCACCACTGCCACGTTGGCTCAGGCCCTTTTCTTCTCCCACCTGGACCCTGATACTGGCTTCAGAACTGATCCTACTGGTTTCATTCCCTCTAATCCTTCCTCCAACTGCACCCAGGGTGATTTCATCCCCACTCCACCCACACTCCTGCTTACACCCCCAACTGGCCAAGGAGCTGATCCAAATTCCTTTGTAGGGCATCACAGAGCCCTGTTTGCCAGCCTGGCTGACCTCATCTCCCTCGGGCCCTCCCCTTGTGCTTTGTTCCAGAGCCAAGTGAAATGAAACTGCTTGTCCCTGGACCTGGTTTATAGCATTCCCTCTGCCAGGAACACCAACCCCACCCTTCTCCACCCCCTGCATTCATTCTCCTGACCAACTTCTTACCTTTCAAGCCTCAACTTCAGCTTCACCTTTATGAAGCTTTCCCTAAGCATCTTCCTCCAAGTTTAAATGACCTCTTTCTCCTCAGAATCCCCCTTGACCCTTATAGACATCTGGTAAAGCACCAGGATTGCTGTGTCACTTATGTTGTTTCTCTCTCCATGACCCCCACTCTATGGAGAGGTCTGGAAGGCAAGGATTATTCTGATTTCTTTATATGTCCCTAGTGTTCAGCACAGAAGGGATATGCTCAGTATTTTACCAAGTAGTGAACTAATTGACTGATACCCTCCTATGTCCCTCTCCACAGGGAACGACCTCTTCCTGGTGGCTGTACATGAGCTGGGCCATGCACTGGGACTGGAGCACTCCAATGACCCCAGTGCCATCATGGCACCCTTCTACCAGTACATGGAGACACACAACTTCAAGCTGCCCCAGGATGATCTCCAGGGCATCCAGAAGATCTATGGTGTGTGGCAGGCAAGAGAGGCCACTGTTCCTTCCTCAGGGCTGGGTTGTAGCTGCCTTCCTGTCAGGAATAGGTATAGGGTGGAAAGCCTTGCCACCCATCAGCACCACTGTTGTGTCTCTGTGCGCCAACCTTTACTAGGCTTCCCCTGGCACACTTGAGAAACCTAGGGGAGGGTCTGGCCTGGGACTGGGAGGGACAAAGGTGAAGAGAGGCCCACTCATTCTCTCTTCTCTACCTTCTCCCCTTTCACACACCTCCCTCTCACCTCCTACGCTCCATTCCCTTCCTCTACCAGATGGTGACTGGGCCCTCTCCTGGGTACCCCCGCTAGCCAAGGACAGCCACACATGTGCCTGAGTAATAGTGACACAATGTGATAGATATCATCGCCACAGCTTTGGTCTTAAAAAGGAAAAAAAAAAAAGAGAAGCCAGGCTGCTATCTTGATAAGGTATGAAAGGCCTTCCCACCACGCCTCTCTTCCCAACTCAGGCCACACTAGCATGTGAAGCTCTTGTTCTGGACAGTCAGTACAAATGGGAAGACTAATTTATTTGAGTAAATAATGTTTGTCATCATAGCACAGCCCCCAGGCAGTAGAGCACAGGAGTGGGACTCCCTCTAGAGAAGTGCCCCAACCAGAACCCTGGACCTCAACAGGTGAAGCAGCAGAGGGCTAATGGGGGCAGCAAGTACCAGAGGTAGAATGGACACTATCTGCTGACAGATCAGGTGAAGGGAAGGGGTGAGGGGAAGGAGAGGAGGGCCAAGGACAACACCAGTGGTTCTCCCTTTTGTAATCACAGGGGCAATGGAATTTACCTATCTAACTTAGGGTCTTTAGTCTCCAGTGCAATAGCCACTAGCCACAAATGACTATTGAAATCAAAATGCATATTACTTAAACTAAAGTTCCAGACCTCAGTCACATTAAGAACTAGTCGCTTAGGGCCGGGGATTTAGTTCAGTGTTTCCACCACCTGTCTCGAAGACACAAGGTCCCGAGTTCGATCCCCAGTACCCAAAAAACAAAACAAAACAAAACAACAACAACAAAAAAGAACTAGCTGCTTACTTCAATAGCTACATAGCCACATATGCATGTGGTTGGAGGCTACTGTATTGGACAGTGCAGACACAGGACATTTCCATCATCATGGATCAGCCTACTGGACAGCTCTGATGTACAGGCTCTTTAAAGCCACTTAGTGTAGTGACTCTCCACTTGTTCACCCATTGGAATACCTTGGGATTCAAATACAAAACACTGACACTCAGCCTTCATCTCAAAGAGTTGGGTTGGTTGGCCTGGAGTGCTTCCTGAGCATCTGGAGTTTTAAAAGCTCCCCAGTGATCCTCATATGCAGTCCCACTTGAGAGGCACCAATCTAGTGATGAAAGAAAATGTCAGGATTGAAGAGAAGAGGCCAAGGGTTTAGCTCAGTGGTGCTGCACCTGCCTTGCAAGCACAAGGTCCTGAGTTTGATCCCAGGTACTGAAAAAAATAATAATAATAAGTTCTAAGATTGAAGAGAAGAGGCCCCAGGGCACTCCAACATTTAGGGTAGGGTGAGATAGCCCCAGCAAAGGAGGCTGAGAGGGAACAGCTCTGTAGAAGGCAGGAAAACCAAGAGTATACAGCTCTGGAAAAGAGGAGCATGTTTCAAGACAAGTTTCTGGGATCTTGCTACTCAACATAGGGGCCTCAGACTAGTAACATCAGCATCACTTGAGACCTCAGAGACATGCAGGCTCTCTGGCCCTACCCTAGGCCCTCTGAGTCATAATTTGCATTTTATCAAGATCCCTAGATGATTCATATGCTCAAAGAAAGTTTGAGTGACCAATTGGATTCTACAGCATGGTGGTCATTGGTGATTTTGGCAATAGGCTTGGATGGGGAGCAGGACGGAAGCTGAAAAAGTGGGGCATGTATGAAGATGAGCAGAGGAAGAGGGCATGAGATGCTAATGATAAGGAAGGACAGCTTGCTCTTGCAATGGAAGAGGGAAAAAGAAGTACTAGATTTGGGGGTAAAAAGATGAGCAGCCCCATTTGATGGATGTTTTTATTTATTTTCTCAAAAACTGGGGGAGTTATGTCAGGGAGAGGGGACAGGAGGGTGGAAGATGACAGACTTGACCAGGAACTGCCTGAGTGATGACAAGGCTATGGCAAAGGGTAGAAAGGAACAGCCGGACACCCTCTAAGATGCATCTCTTCTCTTCAGGACCCCCAGCTGAGCCCCTGGAACCCACAAGGCCCCTCCCCACACTCCCGGTCCGCAGGATCCACTCACCATCTGAGAGGAAGCATGAACGCCAGCCCAGGCCACCTCGGCCCCCCCTGGGGGACAGGCCATCCATGCCAGGCGCCAAACCTAACATCTGTGATGGTAACTTCAACACAGTGGCCCTTTTCCGAGGCGAGATGTTTGTATTTAAGGTAAGGCTGGTTGACTGGTGCCACCCCAGTTGTCCCCATCCACTCTTCCCCCAGCAGGGAGCAAGGAGCTCCTACTCTGGAATAATCTGCCTGTGTGCCTGGATAGAGCTGGCCTAGTGGCCAGAACCCAGGGTCTCTTCCTGGTGCTGCTGGGTAAATTGTTTCCAAGAGGTGAAGGGGGAAGACTGGTGATCCCACCCCTAACCAGGGGTTAATACTGGGGAAAGTGCTGGAAATAGCTTCTGGTCTGTGACCTTCAGCAAGTCACCGCCTTTCTCTGGACCTCAGTTGTTCATCTAAAACCTGGAGGGTCATTCCTCTAACAAAGGGTATTGGAAGACCCAATGTGTGCTGGCTATGAAGACACCAGGCTTGGGTGGGGTCTGTGAGACTCCCACTGGTTGGGCTACATCTTATCACCTGTCCTGTGCCTGTCACTTTAGACGAGCTGGCCGAGCACTAGCTTGCATAGTGTGTTGCAGGCTGGGTCCTCAGGAGCAGTCTGTAAGTTTGGAATTCAGGGTTTTGATGAGGGAGTACCTTTGGGATCAACAACCATGGGCAGAAGGAAAGAAAGCAGGACAGGGCAGAGGGAGAGGCTGAGCAGCAACCTAAGCCTATTGCAGATCTGACCACCCTATGGGGAGCTCTGGGGTTGGAATAGCCCACTGGTCATCCTACATTGGATGCCAAATGGCAGGAAGTTTATACCTCCTTCTTCATTGAGGGAAGCTCTTTGAAACTGAGGCCATTCCCAGAGGAGCTGACAATTGAAAACTGCTTTCTGCTGCACACCGAACCACCAGAGCAACAGCTTCACCAAAAGGGATCTGGGCAGAGTGTCTCCATCACATTGAGTGGCCAAGAAGGGCTGCCCCATTGCCCTGAAGAGGTCTTCCCAGCAAACTTCTAGTGCTGAGTATCAGGTGATATGGATCAGCCTCAGCCCTGCCTCCCAATAGGTGGCTGAAGACATGTCACTTTGCCCTTTTTTAGACTATCTCATATTGATATAACAGAGTTGTGAAACTCAAAATAAGCTTAAAAAACTGGACCTAGAGGTGTTAGGTAAAACATCTTAAAAGGTGTTAGCTTCTGTACCATCTTTTATGAATCATGTTCCTTCTTCTGCACTTTTTTTTTTTTTTTTAATCCTCTCAAATGAACTGTTCATAGGCAAATCTGGATTTTTCTCATTCCCATTTACCACCCTGGTCTTCCCACCATCCTGAGGTCTGACTCTCTGATGCCCTCCTGTGGCAACTCGAGGCCCTGGCATTCTCCTTTCCAGCTTTTCCACACCTCTCCCACGCCAGGACTATGTGCTGTCTTATGGTCCCCAAGGCAGCAAGGGACATCAGGAGGCTTAAATGAAGACTGAAATGAACATTCTGTCCTCCTCTGAGAACTGGAAGCAGCAGATGGATAGACTCCACAAAGGGTTGCAAGGCTGGGCCCAAGGGATGCTGTTGGGTTGTTGGGCCTGAGCCCAGGGCTGAGATCACTGGATTCAGAAGGAGTGCCTGGCATGTCTCTTTTCTGCTCTTCCCCCAGGATCGCTGGTTCTGGCGCCTTCGCAATAACCGGGTGCAGGAGGGCTACCCCATGCAGATTGAGCAGTTCTGGAAGGGCCTCCCTGCCCGCATCGATGCAGCCTATGAAAGGGCTGATGGAAGATTTGTCTTCTTCAAAGGTAACACAGCCTGTGCTGTGGGACCTGGGTCACTTCTTGCCCTTTTGGGGACCTCATTTTTCCATCAAAACTGGAAGAGGTGGTGTGGGAGGCAGAAGCCCTCCAAGAGCCTTTCTAGGCCTAACAGAGACACTGACCTCTGACAGGATTAACCCCTTCAGGTAGGCAGTACACTGTCTGGGGGCATCAAGTCAGGAAGTGATGTTAAGAGTCTATGTGTGAAGATTTCAGGGTGACAAACTCCACTCACATGAAGTAAAGGGTGGGACAGGCAACTAAAGACCACTCAACACTTGAGGAAAGGCCGTTCTCTTAAGTTCTAGAAGAGCCCAGAGGGAGGAGGTCACAGGGAGGACAAGGAGGGGAAAGGGAACTGACATGCCTACCATGGGTCCAGCACTGTGTCAGGTTGTTTCATGTTGATTATCTTGACTTGGCCAGGCCCAAGAGGGATAAGATACAGACTGCTGAGGAAAGCACTAGGGGGATGAAACAGCATGGGTAAGGGACTGTGGAGTATGCAGTCAAAGAGCTTAGAAGTCCCAACTAACAGCCACTAAGGCTTCACCCTGGAGAGCAGTGAGGTATGGCCGGGGAAGGTCATATGGAGGCACATCCTGAAGAGCCCTGGTTGCCAGGTGGAATATGCTCTGGTCCCAGTAGGCCAACACTGGAAATCCACTGCCTCTTTCTGAACAGCACAGAGCCATAGGGCAGGCGGTGATACAATAGCACAAAGGCAGGAAGGTTGTTTTGGAGGGAGTTGCTGGACTTGAGGAGAGCATTGTCCATGAGACCCAAACCAAGGAGGAGCTCTGCAGCTTTCAGGGAACAAGGGACAGCTGTGAGGAGACTCAAAAGGACTTATAAGTGGCTGTATGCTGAGACAGGAAGGAAAGACAGTCAAAACTGATGCCAAGCTGGACACAGTGGTGCTTGACTATAATCCCAGCTACTCGAGGGGGTAAGACAGGAGGATCACCAAATTTGAACCCAGCTTAAACAAATTAGCAAGACAGGTGGGGGTGAGGGCACTGCCAGATCTTCTTCTTGGGGACCCTAGGAGGCAGAAAGGTGATGAGGAGGAAGTCCCCTCTGTGGTTCAGATGAGGAGTTCTGGGAAGCCTACTTGGAGCTGCCAGGGCCATTGGAGATGAGTGTCTGAGGCAGTGCCCAGGTCCAGTGTGAGAGTAGCTGTGAGCTGTAGCCTCAGAGTTAGATGACACCAGTGATAGGTTGGGGGTTAGTAGTGTGTGAAGACATAGAAATGGCTAAGATCACCAGAGAGGAAAGAATAGCACGTCAAGAGGGTGGGGCATGGATCCGGGCAGCAGGTGGCCTACTGTCAGGATCTGTGACTGGCTTCTCGTTGCTTGCCCCCAAGTTCTGCCAGGGCCCAAGGGGCTGAGAGGGCTGACGCTCCAGCTCTATGAATGAGAATGGGCAAGTGACACTAGCCACAACCCTTGTCACTGAGTGGCTAAGGAAGACTGACTCTGGGCTCCTCTTGCCCACAGGTGACAAGTACTGGGTGTTTAAGGAGGTGACGGTAGAACCTGGGTATCCCCATAGCCTGGGGGAGCTGGGCAGCTGCCTGCCCCGTGAAGGCATCGACACAGCTCTGCGCTGGGAACCTGTGGGCAAGACCTACTTTTTCAAAGGCGAGCGGTACTGGCGCTACAGCGAGGAGCGGCGGGCCACAGATCCTGGCTATCCCAAGCCCATCACTGTGTGGAAGGGCATCCCACAGGCTCCCCAAGGGGCCTTCATCAGCAAGGAAGGGTGTACGTAAGGGCTGGGCCCAGTGAGGGTGGGGGCTGATTTTATGTGGTTCTCTTCAGGGCCCTGGACATATTCTCAGATATCCAAGTTTGAGAAACACCCGCCAGTAGCAGGAACTTGCCCCCTATGACCATGTTCACACAGTGCATTAACTTGCTAACCAGCTACCAGGTCACAAGTTTTACCTATAGTAATGATTCACAGTTTTGAGGTTTTCCTGTACTGACTTCATTCCTTCAGACAGCATTTCTCACTGGTCTTTAGATGTCATTTAGGGCTTCCTCAGGCAGTCAGGTCTGAAAAACAGTGAAGGATAGGGGTGGTCCAGGGGTACTTTTTACACAGGGGTTGAGGGTAGGAAGCTTTTAATTTATAAGATATTTCCTAAGCTTTTCCTGGAGACTGGGCTGGCAACCAATCACCATGGCTGCCATCAGGCACTCAGCCTGTCTGCCCACCAGACCAGGAGATTCCCAAGAGGAAGCGTTTAGTCTTGCCAGGCACAGAACAGGCACCCATGATCTGGTCAAAAACACAGACTCTCCCGTCAGGCTGGCTGGGTTCACATACCACCTCTCCCACTTTATGAATTTGGACAAATCATTTAAGTTTTCTTAGTCTCCTCATCCATAAAATGGGGACAATAATGGCATCTTTATAAATGGCTTTGTGAGGATTAAATAAAATAAATAAAACAGCACACAGCATAATGCCTTCCACATGGTCCATGGAATATAAGTTTTAGCTGCTACCATCATCATCTTATTGGTGTGTTTGAGTAGAAAAATAGAATTTGTTCATTCACCCCACAAAATACTGAAACCGGTTTGTATGGGAGAGGCCAAGAATATAGCGATGACAAGACTTGCATAATTCTCAGTCTAGTGGCAGAAAACAAGGTGGCAACAAAAGCTAGCAGGGGAAACAAACGCTGTGAGAGAGCAACTAGGCAGAAGACACCATTTTAGAGACCACGGTGAGGAAGGGCTCTCTGAGGAGGCATCACCATTTCAAAAGCCAGTGGCCACACAGGCATAGCTGCTATTTGTTGGCTCTCTTGTGTACAGGATGCCTTACACACGTGGCCTCCCTTTTTGGAGAGCCTCAGAGACAGGCGACATCAAAGATCTTGACCAGTGAAAGTCCCAGCCAGGGTGGGGAGCTAGCCAATGACGAGAGTCTGAGTGAGTTACTCTGCTGTCTGGACTGGCTGAACCACTAGGGCTGTTGCTGGGAGCCCAGGGAGTAACTAGCAGAAGCTTCCCACTCACCTCCTTTCCTTCCAGCCTTCCCTGAGTAGGGTCCCAAAGACCCTACGTCTGTGTTGTGAAATCATATGTGCCAAGCTAAAAAAAAAAATCTGTAATTTGCAGGGAGGTAGTATCTGCTGTCAACAGGAGAAATCTTGCTCTCTGCCTCTCTTGGCCCAGGCAGGAGCTGAACTGAGCCCTAGAATTATGGAAAGTGCTGTTCGAGCCTTAAGTTGAGGGTTTGATCTGACCCTCGTGGGGAGCCTGTGGGCACAGTGTGACAGAGCTGCATCTGCATTGAGAATGGTCCTTTCCCTGTTCTACTTAAACCCCTCGGTGGTTTCACAGCACTTTTGAGCTGATGGTGGGCAGCCCCAGGACCTGTGTCCCTTTTTGCAGCTGCATTTAGTCGCAACCCAGCCAAACACTGTACTCACCCCACCTCCAAGGTTCAAACAGGCAGCTCCCTCCACCTAACACAGCACCCCTTCCTTCCCTCCTGCACACTGCCACAGCACCCAGCGCCTCACACTGGCCCAGAGCAGGTGCTGGGAAGTGTCTGGGAGTGGTGATGCTGGGCCTTATTTCTGCAGATTATACCTACTTCTACAAGGGCCGGGACTACTGGAAGTTTGACAACCAGAAACTGAGTGTGGAGCCAGGGTACCCACGCAACATCCTTCGAGACTGGATGGGCTGCAACCAGGAGGTGGAGCGGCGCAAGGAGCGGCGGCTGCCCCAGGACGATGTGGACATCATGGTGACCATCAACGATGTGCCAGGCTCTGTAAATGCTGTGGCCGTAGTCATCCCCTGCATCCTGTCCCTCTGCATTCTGGTGCTGGTCTACACCATCTTCCAGTTCAAGAACAAGGCAGGCCCTCAGCCTGTCACCTACTATAAGCGGCCAGTCCAGGAGTGGGTATGAGCAGCCCAGAACCCTCTCCATCCACTTGGTCTGGCCAGCCAGGCCCGTCCTCACCAGGGTCTACAGGGCAGCTCTGCCCACTGCCCACTGGGGCCAGCAGGGCCCTTGGCCAGGATCATACAGCAGAAGTGGGTATGTTGGCCTAGGCTGAGGGCAGAGAGCAATGGGGGCTGTGCCCCAGGAGGGCATCTAGCACCCAGGTGCCAGCCTTCTATCCTGGGTGAAATACTCTCTACACAAGAGAATAGACTAGCCATGCCAGGAGGCAGGGACTATGCCAGGAGTCCCTGTGGTCACTGAATCCTGTGGTATTTATGAGGCACCACAGCTCCAGTCCAGCACCCTCCATGGGAAGCCAGCACTAGCTCTCATCCCCCATCTGGGAGATGCCACCAGTCCCAGTCCCCTTCTGCCAACACCTGCTGGTCAGATGTCTCCCCACCCACCACACCCCTCCTGTCCTCCAAGGCTGCAGGACCCCTGCTGCCAACAGCGGACAACAAGCCTGGGGCCTCCCTGCTGGCAAACAGCAGATCCCTCAGGAAACCTGCTGTACTTGTCAGGTTTCCTCTGACACCCAGGATTTAGCGTCACATGCTGCAGGCAGGGCTGTGGCCCAGCTGGGCCTGACAAGGACCCAGCTGTCACCTCGTGAACATTTTAATGTCCTGTCACTACTGTTTAAAGTCCCATTTTGCAAAGGCTGCTTGAGGCATTAGGTGAGTTAACGGTGACTGTCTTGGTGATGAGGCCAGTGTACTGGCCCTCCCCCAGGTGATAAGGACCAAGGTGCTCCTAAGGCCATGCTAGCCATCCAACACTAGCTGGGGCCCTGCCCATAAGGCTCAAGAGCTGGGGCAAGAGCTGACCCCATTTTTGTAGGCCAATCCAAGTTTGTGACCGTCCTCCACTGACCCCTCCATTTTCCCTGCTGCAGCCCTGCTCTAGCCTGTTACTTGTGGACTAGTCAGATGAAGCAGAGATGGCTCACACCAATCATGGCCTTGGAGTAAAGGGCACAGGGCAACCTTCTTACAGCACCCAGACCCCCAGCTACCCTGAGGCATCTGTCTCAGCACGGAAGCAATGTTATGCCATGAGCTTAGCCCTGGCAACCCAGCTCACTGGGCCCCTCTTCCTGTAGCGCTCTTAGGAAAAGGGCAGCTCCAACTGGTAGCAGCCCCAAGCCTAGAGGTCTCCCTTTTTGACTTTCTTGGGCCCAAGGTTCATTTCTCACAAGAGTTCCTAGGGCTCAGCTTGCCTTGCTCCAGCTCAGCAGACAGCACTTCTCATCACTGAGGAGCCCTAGGCAAGACCAAGGGGTGCAGTAACATCCACTGGCTCTGTGCCAAAGCCAAAAAGTGGTGTCAGGCAGTCTTCAGGGTGCTGGCAGGGTCTCAGATGCCACTCCTGCCTTCTTGAGCCCACATTGGCCTTGCCCCCACCGTGGTCTCTGGGCTTTGGGTCAGCCTACCCTGTAGCACAGACAGGGACTCCTGCTACCCTCTCAACTGTCCTGAGTTAAATCTATGGTGCCAGAGGCACCTATGTGGGTCCACTGTGTCCCCTGTCGTCATCATCTTTTTTCTTTTTGACCAAGGGCAGGCTCCCTGGGGCAGGCAGGGAACAACTGCAGAGATATTAGTGATTCATAGGTTTGTACAGTGTTTTATACTTTGCAAAGCACTTTATTAGCTCACACCTGTCCAACTCACATGAAATTCGCGTAGGTCCTGGGAGGCCAAGGATAACTCATCATGCCCTCGCATGAAGCACAGAGAGGTTGTTACTTCCCAGGGCCATCTGAGGGCTGGCTGGGTCTTCTGTCTCCATCTGTGGTCCCCTCTGAGGTCTGAGATAAGTGTGTCCTCTATCCATCCCTTCCTGGCCCCTCTCCACTGCTCAGGTTGGTGCTCTCACTTGCTGAAAGCTCTAGGCTCCCCACCTCCCAGGCTACTGTTGGCTCCTGGTACTACTACAAAGCCAGCTGAGAAGGAGCAGGAGATGGAGGCAGGCAGCCCAGACTGCAGATGTGAGGCATGTGGGGCCAGGCCCAGAGAAGGCTAAGCCTGGAGGCTTCCAATCTTGGATTCTCCTGCCTCTGGTCATCTGTTTGTTCATCGCCCCAGGTCAGGGCAGTCAGACAGAGGGCCAAAGCGCTGGTGACCCGAGAGCCCAGCTTTCCCTCACCCTGGGGGACATCACAGCATTTCAGTGTCAGTCACATTTTAAACTGATCAGCCTTTGTATAATGTTTTTTAAATCATTTCTAAATAAAACAGAAAGAAAGAGTGTGTCATTCCTCTGGCGTGTGGGAACAAAGATCATCAGGTTCTAAGAGGTGGCCTTACAAAGCTTCAGGGTACTCTGGGGCGTTTTAGAGCTGCCCCAAACATCATCTGCTATTTTAGTAGTCAGACATCCTCTCCAAAAAGGGTGGGGAGCAACTCCCTTAAGAGTATGGGTCCTTCTTGTTGGTCAGCTGCTGTCCCTTCGGTACGCACTGTACTGCTTCGAATAGCACTGGTACAATAAAAGAATTGAAATGCAAAAAAAAGAAGAAAGAAAACAGGAGTATGGGAAGCCTCACTGGCAAAGGCTTTTCTGGGCTCAAGACACATAGGGCCATGACCGGGGACACAGGAAGGGGCTCAGTTCTAGCAATAAGAGACTGGCTGGGCGATCAGCAGTCATAGAATCTCACCAGAAGGCCTGGCCTGGTTCTGGTTTGGGGAAGGCTGCACCCAGGCAAACAGGTGGAGAGGGGTGGGGGTAAACACGAAGGTCAGAGCTGGCATTGGCTCCTGGCGGGAGGGCGAATAAGCTCAGGTTGGGATGACCGGTACCCACAAGGAAGCCCTTCCAGGGCTCCGGGCCCCGGCCGACCTCTTCAGGTCCTCTGCCTATCTGCGGAGATCGGGAAGAGACACGCAGTCTTGGGGAGAGAAGACAAGAGGCCAGCCGAGCCAAGGCTGCAAAGACTGGGCGGCAGCTCGTCATCCTTCCAGGCGGCGGAGTCAGTACCAGGAGGTGCAGGCGATGAGAAAGCGCACGTCGTCCAGCGGCCCCCAAGGGCCAGGCTCCGGCTCCGGCTCCGGCGGGGCCTGTTCCGGTGGCGCTGGCCCCTCAGGTTCCGGCTGCGTTGGCTCAGGGTCGCCCGGGCCGCCACTCAGCTGAGAGCCCATGGTCTGCGGGACAAAATGTCCGTCAGGATCCAGGGTCGGGCTGCCGCACCAGCCCCACAGATACCACCCCCAGCCCCAACTGCACCCTCACCTCAAGCAGACAAGTCAGCCGGACCACAACACCTATGGATCACAACACCTAGCGGGGCTGGAGCCGCCTCGTGACGTCATCACCGGCGGACGTGGCTCGACTTCCTCCAGGAAGGAAACCCCAGCTCTCACCCGGGGCGGGGCCACAAGCACAGCGCCAGCCCAGCCCTCGACGCCCCGCCCTGTCCAGCCTGGGAACGGCCTCACAGCCCCTGGCCGCCATACCGACTCGGCTACCAATGCAAGGGAGGCTTGGTGGTGCCTAGGGCAGTCACCTCCATTCACCTTAGGTCAAAAAGGTAAAAAATGCCCTGACGTGGGATGTAAAAGGTTAAACGCGTCTCTTCTTATAAAGACCAAGACAAGCTGTGTGGAAAATGTGAGAACACAAAGGAGTGCTTCTTCCTCTTGCCCCGGGATGAGGCCTCCTGTTGATAATGACAGAGAAGTCTGTGTCCTGTGTATGTCTCTCCCCTTCTGCCCTCCCAGAATGCTTGAAATGGGGAGAGGGTGTTGCACAGGCTGAGGCCCACAGACAGCACACTCAGAATGGCCAGAGGCAGGTGCCCTTTAATGGGGTCCCCCAGAACAGCAGAGGACATCCAGGAGCCAGAGCACATGAAGGTTTTTGCAGGAACAACAGATTCAGAAGATGGGACCGGTGCAGGGCTGAGGCGCCATCCACTCCGTTTCACTGATCCCTCTGCCACACCTTCCTGGCAGCAGCAAGTCCAGACCAGGTCAGGTGTGGGGGTAGGAGCCAAAGTCCAGAGGCTGGAGCCCAGGAGCAGCATGGAAGGTGACTCAGGTGAGGCTGCAGGGAGGAGGAGGAGCACTGTCAGGAACTGCTTCACAGGGCACACCTCACCCCTCCCCTGGACCTTTGTTCTAGCTAAGCCCTGAAGAGCCACATTCAGAGCCCAACCTGGCCCCATCTGGATTCTGGTTTGACTGCATCCCATGTTACACAGTCTAGTTTGGAGTTCTGTGTTTGAAGACTAAGATTAATTCTTCCTGCTCAGGTTGGACCAACTTCCTTAATTTATTTGCTTACTATCATAAATCAGAGTCTGAGAACATCAGAAAAGGGAACTCAATCTAAGAAAAGGCTATACCTAGACCATAAGTCCCTACTGGGAGGGCTGGGGCCAGAACTTTGCCCTCCATTTCCAAATGCTCCCTTTCAGTGCTAACTAAAGAAAAGACTATGCATACTAGGTTGAAAAACAAATCTGTTCTGAGTATTAAGTGAAAACATTCTTTTTTTATATTTTTATTTATATTTTTATTGTGAGATACAGTCTCACTAAGTTGCCCACGCTGGGCATGATCTTGTGATTCTCCTCTCTCAGCCTCTGAGAGTACAGGGATTACAGTCCTGCATCACTGCACCCACTTGAAAACATTCTTAATGAAAGAGATAATCATATACATGATTATAAAACTGGAGTGCATATTATAATCGTCCATCCTGAGGGCTCATGCACACCTCAAACAAAACATATCCACAAATCAAAGACGCTAGGTGAGTGTTTTTGATTCTGTTCCAATACTCATTTCTGTATATTATCTAACTGCATAGGCGAGTACAGTACCAGAAAGAAGCCGACCACTACTGAGGAATGTAGCGATTCTGCCCAACTTCAGCAGCCGTTTCTAAGTTTTGCTGTTATGTGCAACATATACTTTGTTTTTGATAGGTATCAACTATCACTTCACTGAGGTTTTTCTATTAAAAGGTTGCTGAAACAGTTTTTGTGATTTAAATGATAAATTCTGTTAAGTACTGTCTTCCTTACAAGACTCAAATGTTCCAAAAGAACAGGAAATATTACTCATCATGACATCACTACTGCCTGGTGCATGAAGTTACTGAATGAGTTTGCATGATAGGGATGTAGCTTAGTGGTAGAGCATTGGCCTAGCATGGGGCAGGGCTTGGGTTCTTTCGTGAGTGCCTCAGTGGGGAGAAACCCAGAAACTTACTCGCTCATCACCAGTGGTGGCAGAGTTAGTCAGTGCGGTTCCCAAAATACCCGCATCAAAATCAACCAGGGTAGCTTATTTAAAAAAAATAGTAAGACACAAAGCCAGGCACAGTGGCACACATCTGTAATCTTAGTACTCCGAGAGAGCTGAAGCAGGAGAATCCCAAGTGTGAGCCCAAACTGGGCAACTTACCAACTTAGTGAGACCCTCTGTCAAAATAAAAAAGGGTTGGGGATACAGCTCACCAATACCACCAACAAAAAAACAAAAGCCCTGACTTGGGTCCCACTCCAGACCTATGGAATCAGAATCTGAGTGTGCACACAAGAAAGTTACCTAAACAAGTATCCCAACATCTGCTAAACTCCAAACCACAGGCTAACAGTCAAAATTTCCTATTGTCAGCAAAGTCCTCAGCACTTGGAAAATGCTACCTTCCCCTTCACACATCCCGCTTTGTCCCATCTTGGTGTCTACCTGAGCTGCTTCTCCACTTGTCTCTACATATTCAAATAACTACTCACGGCCTAAAGCCAAATTAAATGATCCTTCCTTTATGAAACTTCCATGATCTGAGAAATCTCATCCGGGATTCCAAAACCCCCTATCTGAGAACAATCAAGGCACTTTTTATTCTCCTTGGAGACAGCTAGAAGTTATATGTGGCCACTACATTTTCTCCACTACACTGTGAGCTCTGAAGAAGCAGGATGTAGGACTCAACTGCCTCACCATCCTCCAAGAAGCCTTGCCCACAGGGATCAACCAATATCAGGCAAACAAATGAAGAAAAGGGAAGGGAAATTCTACCCATGGGAAGCACAGGGTCTGTTACTTGGTACTTGCTCCACTTTGGGGTTTATATCCTCTATAGCAGTGATGGCCAGCCTTTTAGAGCTTTCAATGATACACATGTGGTAGGTTTGCCACCACTGCTCTACAGAGTCTCTGCTGAGGGCAAGACAGGCTTGAGAAAGGTCCTCAATGAAGGATGAGAGGGAAGTGGGACTACCAAGCACCTGCTGCTCTTCCAGAAAAGATTCTAATGCCCTACACCTTGGCATCTCCACAGTTAGGGCCTCATGTTTGGTTTGTTTTGGGTAACCCACAAACATCCAGACTGTGATTCTGATGTAACAGTAATCCCAACACCAGCTCCCTTAGCGTCCATCAGGGATCTCCAGGGCATTTTTGCTTTTGAGACAGGATCATGCTGTGTAGTTCAGGCTGCATTCCCAGCAATCCTTCTGCCTCAGCCTCCTGGGTGTTTGGATTACAGGTAGGTACCAAAAACTGCCCAGCGTCTCCTCAGCATTTTATAGTAGCCTTCCCACCTTCCCTAGCCACAACAGCTCTGTCCTGTTTGAGGTCCTGTGCCACTGGCTGGAGAAACCAAAACACAGCAAATTCAGATTACAAAATAACACACCCAGGAATCAAATAAGGACAAGCCAAGCATGGTGGTGCATGCTTGTAATGCCAGGACTTTGGATGGCTGAGGGAAAAGGATCACAAGTTTGAGCATGCCCAGGGAACTTAGCAACTGAGAGTCTGTGTCAGTATTAAAAATAAAATAAAGGGACCAGGGATTTAGCTCAGTGGTTTCACCGCCTGCTGCACAAGTGCAAGGACCCAAGTTCGATCCCCAGTACCTAAAAAAAAAATAACAAGAAAATAATAAAATAAAATACAATAAAAAGGGCTGAGGGGGCAGGGATTTAGCTCAGTGGTGCTGCCGCCTGGTTGTAAACGTAAGGTCCCAAATCTGATCCCGGTACCAAAAAAAAAAAGAAGGGCTGGGGGGACTGGAGAAATAGCTCGGCACACAGGCCCAGGATTCCATTCCCAGTACAGCAAGACAAAATAAATAAGAAGGACCACCAGAAAGTTCTACCTAGACAACTGAATCATCAAAGATAAGGATGAGTAGTGCTCAAGAAAACCTTACTAGTGCTCATTCGGCAGCACATATACTAAAAGAAGAGCTTGCTGGCTATCCTGTGATTGCTCAGCAGTGTGTGGATGCACTCTTACATTTGAGCACCACCTACCAGGAAAAACACAACAGGACTCCCATGCTAGGTGACATCTTCTTCCCTACCCTCAAAGGCAAAGTAAGCCCGTAACCCTGATCCCTGTACCTGTCAATGAGGGAATCCCGCATGCTGGTGGCAATGGTGCTGGGCTGGGCCTCATTCAGCTTGAAGACGCTCTCCACCACCGACAGTTCCGTGCTGGTTGTGTCCAGCCCGCAGAAGGCACACCAGTCATTCACCACCATCCCAGCAGCAATCACCTCACTGCCTCGGTTCACAGTGCCCGCCTGCCAAGAATGGGCTCGGTGTGGGACACGGCACCAGCAGCCAAAGTCTCTCCCCTCCCCAGTGAGGACTCTTCCCAATCCTGCTCCCTGAACCTCAGCCCCGGTCCCAAACTAAGTCAGGTGATTCCAGAACGCTGGGCAAAGGCATCTGCTTCGGCAGGAGACAGGGGCCAGGGCGCAGGAAGTCTTACCACAAGGGGCACCTGGAGAAGAGAGGACAGCTCATCCTGATCTTCAATTGAAGTCTTGGGATGCACCAGCCCTCCCTGATTGCTGAAGACACAGTAGCTTCCCACTAACACCTGTTCAGCCACTGTCTGTCTGAAGACCTCCACCTTGAGCACATCAGCCAGGATTTCTTCTGTCTCCTGTCAGCCAAAGATACTGTCGTTCAGGGCTCAGGATAGATAAGCCAGAGAACCCGGAGCCCCTCATTTCTCTGCTACACAGCTACACATGGAAGCCTCACTCGGGGAAAGGACAGGGTACAGCTTAGTGTGGAGACTGGGCCAGCTCTGCAGCCCCTCAGACCCAAGCATACCCTGAACACTGGGGACTGGCCTCCCTGTCACCCTTTTCCCTCTAACACACCCTCCGGTTTGACTGTCAGTCATCTGTCCCGCCCACGCCTGGGCCACTCTCCCCAAATCTTTAACCCTGAAGGATTAATGGTCTCCCAGCTTCTGACACTGACCATACCACCGAGGCCCCTGTTACCTCTTTTCCTACTGACTGCTTGAAATACAGAGAAACCACAAGAGATGATGCTAATTTCTGCCTGTGAGGTGAAAACGATAGCTAATCTCAGCCTTGGCTGGTCCTATGGCTCTTGAGACAAGTTGGGCTACCTCACCCTGTCCAGGTCTGGGTGGACCAAGGCCACATAGTCATTGCAGGTGGTAACATTGCCCAGGGCTGATAACCGCTCCTCCACCCGCCGGATCTGCACTGAGTCTGGGAGGCAGTTGCGAATGTGCTGCAGCTCCTGGTCAGTGGTGTTGTTGGGCAGCAGGAGCCCGTGCCTGTTCCCTGGAGAGACCCAAATTGGACAGTGAGGCAAACACAGACCATGAATAAGGAGATGCTTCTGGGACCTCAGGGATCAAGATACAACCCGATACAACCCAACCCAACCCAACCCAACCCAGCCCAGCCCAGCCCAGCCCAGCCCAATTAATTTTCCAAGACAGCTTCAGTCTCAACCCCCAGGTCTCCAGCCCACTGATTCATTCATTGCACAAGAGTACCAGGTCCCCTGGGCAGGCCCAAGATGGCCAGGAATCTATCCCAACAGACCTTACTCACTTCCTCATCATCAGATCATAGGAAAAAGATATGGTCCTTGGCACACTGTATATTTTGATACCCATAAACTACATGTAGCTAAAAAAAAAAAACTACATGTAGCTAACGCTACTTACCTACAAGAGTGGCTAAAATTTAAATTGAATATCAATACCAAATGCTGGCAAAAACATGGAACAAATGAAACTCATACACTGACAAGAGTGAAATGGTCAACCACTTTCAATATAATCATGTAGCATTATCACCAGATAGTCACATAAACTGTGACTCTGCCTAACTTCTGTACCATAAAATAGAGAATGCCTATGCAGAATACCTAACTTGTAGGTATTATACATCCAACAGAAATATATACATATTGCCACCAGCACACCTGTAGTCCTAGCACTTGGGAGGCTGAGGGAGAAGGATCACCATGAGTTCAAGGCCAGCCTGGGATACATAGTTCAAGACCAGCCTGAACTACATAACAAGACCCTATATGAAAGAAAAAAAAGGAAAAGAAAAGAGGGAGGGAAGGAGGGAACCAAGGAAGGAAGGAAGAGAGAGAGAGAGAGAGAGAGAGAGAGAGAGAGAGAGAGAGAGAGAGAGAGAGAGACATATGTTCATACTTATAGAGAGGAACTATTGCTATGAGACCAAATGGCAAACTGCCCAAAAGAATAGATGGAATCCACTCTGGAATATCCCTACAAAACCTACTCCACAGCACCAAGAAGGATCAAAGTTTAATGGCATTGTCACAATTATGGGTAAAATTCTCTGTATCCTTGTAAGCCCACAACTCTGAACCTCAGAACTGAGAGTTGCTCTCTTATAGTACGAAGAGGGCTACGCTAAATTCACTTATTCTTTGAATTTACTTCAAATCTAACGGGCATGGTGAGAGATCAGGGTGTTTTTCTTGTTATTCTTCGATCAAAGTGTTTGAAATGAATTAGAAAACAAAGGTCATGATGTTCAAGATTTTTTACATTAGAAGTAAAAAAATAAGACTTGTGTGACTCCAATCTACAGAACTAAGAAACAAGGAGTGGCAATAACAGGACACAGAGCCAGCTTAAAGAAAGGAGGGGAAAAAAAGGAGGAATGGCCACAGCCAACAGCTCTGAGAGATTAGAGAGCAGAAATGCCAGTACAGACATGGAAAAGGGAACTGAGGATTTAAATGTACAAGATAACCCGGACTCTGGGCCTGTCATGTCACAGAGGCAGAAATGCATGCTCAGAACCAGGAAGGAGCTTGTTTATGGTCAGTACAGAAGAGATGAAATTAAAATCCTCTGCCACATTAGGTGTGGTACTCGGTGAGTCACCTAGATTCTCTAATCTCATTAGTCAAATTAAGACACTAATTTCTACCTCTAGAGAACAAGAGCAACACTACTTGTTTCTGGGCCGGGGATACATGTAGCTCAGAGGTGCACCACCTGCCTGGCAAGCTTAAGGCCGTGAGTTCAATTCCTGTTACCAAAAAAAAAAAAGTACTTTTTTCCTTTTTTTGTGGTACTACTAGAAAATAAACCCAGGGGCTCTCACACACTAGGGAAGCCTCTAACACTGAGCGACTTGCCTTTTTCACGTTTAGACAGAGTCTTCCTAAGGTGCCCAGGTTGGGATCCAACTTGCCATCCTTCTGCCTCAGCGTTCTAAGTAGCTAGGATACAGCCCTGCGAAGCTGAACCTGACTGTGCTATTTCTTTTGGCTGTCATTTGTATTTATTATTCTCAAGAAGTCTTTGGTAGAGCCTGTCCTTGTTCTCCTGACTGTTCTCAGATTGGGTCCCAATCAGCCCCGAGAGACTGCAGACCACGGAGATCATGAATGAAGGCTTGGAAACTCCTAGGTCGCCCCGCGTTCCCTCCAGGGATATGATTAATAATTAATGGTAGGGGTCGGGGACTTAGCTCAGTGGTTCCGGCGCCTGCCTCTCAAGCGCAAGGTCCCCAGTTCGATCCCCGGTACCAATAATAATAATTATTATTACTATTACTATTATTATTATTCCTAATGGTGCTTGGAGGCTCCACTCTCTCCCTAGGCGTCCTCCACATGCCTTACCCACACACATGCGCCCGATGATGCGGCAGCCGGCGATGGACGCGTGCACCACGGGGATGGTATCGGCGAGCTCGCCCTCGAACACGCTGTAGGGACACAGACTCGGAGGTCACCAGCCCGGTCACACTCAGCCGGAGCTCCCGACCTCCGCAACCTTCCCGCTCCGCCGCACCTGTAGAAGTTCTCTGATCCTCCGATGGCCACCAGGCAGTAGGTGTTGGTGAGTTTGGCAAAGCAACCGATCTCACAGTTGTTCTCGAAAGACGCTCGCACCGCCATGACGGAGGCCTTGAGGTTCCCCTCCCGTGAGCTCAGGGTCGACGGATCGGCTACCGCTAAGTCCCAGGTCTCGGGGCCTCGTGCCCTCTGGAGCGTCGCGACCCCGCCCTTCGAAGCCGGTCAGATTTCGGCTACCGCCCACTGGCCCCCTCCTACTCGGACCCCTGTCCTCAGGCCCCTCCCTTTCCCACCGGGATCGAGCTGACCCTAGCGGCCTCCCTTCACACCAGCTCACCTAGCGACACCTAAATTCACACGCCACTACTCCTTCCTTCCCGAAGAGCTTTCCGTTTCCGCCGCGGCCCGGAGAGACTTCCGGCAGAGTCCGGCGTGCCAGCCACGCCTGCGCCCCTCTAGCCCCACCCCGGGGAAGGACTCCGTGGCTCCAAATGCTCTGTCCCGCGCCCCGCCCGGCGCCGCACCCCGCCCGGCGCCGCTCTCCGCACGCTCGCCTGCCCTCATTGGTTCGTTCGTTCTTTCACTCCGGAGCTTTTTGGGAGGTTCAGGCGACTAAGATCTGTGGCTGGTCGGTGTGACACGAGGGAGAGGAGGAGGCAGAGCCGTCTCCAAGGAGGCGGGGGTGATGAGGGAGGTATTGACTGACATGAAGTAGGAGGCTCAAGGGTGGCTTTAGGAGAGCGGATGGACCCAGTTCCGCCAAGCGCACAGAGGTCCTGATGTGGAGCCCAGGCGAGAGTGAAGGGCTGAGGAGTGAGATCTGGGGCCAAGCTGGGGTGGATGACGTCACCTGGGAGAAGGTGTCCAGAGGGAGAAGTGAGGCAGGATCACAGGCTGCTGGATGCTAGGCCATACCAGCAGAGGAAAACAGGCGGGTGGGGCGGGGATTTAGCTCAGTGGTTTCGCCGCCTGCTGCGCAAGCTCAAGGACCCGAGTTCGATCCTCGATACCAAAAAAAAAACCAAAAAAAACAGGCGGATGACCGAGTAGGAATATGAATGTGACTGAAGCAGGTTTAGGGAGTAGTTGGAGTCGCATGGGCCAGGTTGGGCGAGGATGTGGGGCCTGACTTGCTTCCACGACGTGCTTCTCATGCGT